GTGCATTTTGAATGGCTGCATCTGTATCTACCTGTGCAAGATAACACACACTAAGGAACACTTTAATTTGCAATTTATGATTTCATATATAGTGGCTTCATATGCAATTAATATGTAAAATATTAATTTAACTTTGAAGCGTACAATCACACCTATGTGAACACAGTTGACTGCTTCCTGTTATGACTCAGCTGGCTGTTACTGACAGCTGCACCTAACAGGGAGGCAGGGAATCCAATTGCAGGGGTTCTGTATTTTCAGGGGCCATTAGAGTTTTCCGAGGAGAAGAGAGAAATGGGAAAATAAAAACAGGATCAGAAGACAGGGCTGGAACAAGCTGGGGAAAGGTGTTGGCAGGACAGGATTCACACAAGATCTTGGTCTCTGGGTCTCTAGGAAATCAGGGGACCAGGGTTTCTAGGAAATCAGTTTCACTGATAGTATATCTGAAAGTGTGTTGCTGAGCATAGCAGGAGCTCAGTAGCTCAATGACATAGCACCTTTTTCATGCCATTTCATGACATTTCAGGGATAAAGTAGGGAATCTGAATTTAATTAATTGGAAGACTGGCTTGCTAGGAGGAAAGGCAAACCAAAATGTAGCCTGATCACATGCTCTAACAACCAGCTAGAGCATTTCCAGCTGCATCACTTCATCAACTTCTGCCCTTCCCTCAAGTATACACTTTTTATATCTTCCACTACTCTTCCATTTCTAGACATAAACCTATCCATTAACCATCCACGACTCTCTACTTCTGTCTATTACAAATCCACAGATTCACCGAGCTATCTCCTGTACAGCTCATTTCACCACAAACTGTACATATACTAAAAATTATCTCCCTTTTTCACAGTTTGTCAGACTACAAAAACTCTGCTGTGATGACATGGATTTTCAAAACCAAGCCCTCAAAATGCACTCTTCTTTCATCAACAGAGGATACTTTACCCATGTTATTGACAGGGCCCTCTGCCGAGCCAAAAATGGCCCTCACATCATCAACTCAATCAGGAACTCCTGAACTCACAACTGCATTCCATTGGTGCTTCCCTACCACCCTACCACCCTTTCTATCCCCAGGACGATTAATGACAGCTTCCCCATCTTACAGGATGATCCCTCCATCGGTACCCTTTTTTCTGACTGCCCCATCACCTCATATTGTCGACCACCTAATCTGCGTAATCTTCTTGTTCACAGCTCCCTTGACCTCCCACAGCAATCATCCACACCAGGCACTTTCCCCTGCAACAGAACTCACTACCACACTCATTCAAGACCACTCTGGACAATTCCAGATCACTCAGATGACACCTTGTACCTCCAGCAACCTTATTTACTGCATCTCTTGCAGAAAATGCCCAGGTGTGTAGACTGGTGGAAAACTAATGTTTCTTGGTGAAACAGGAAGGAGCCTCGGAGACCACTTCAGGAAACATGTCAGGGCTATGAGGATAAAAGATCTCTCCAAGTCCATAGTTTCTCATTTCATCTCTAATGGCAATAATCATACTGATCTCTCCATCTGCATTTTCAAAGAGGGGTTTCAGGACTGCTATTGCAGAAAGAAATCTGACACCAAACTTACCCTGAAACTAGGATCACACCTTCTCCCTACGCTCAACGACAGACTAATCCTTTCCTTCTAATCCTTCTATTCATTTGCAGGTTTCGACTTCACCCCTCTCTTCACCTCTCTCAATTTCACACCACCAGAGTGTCCACTCTGCTTCTCTCCTGCTCCTGCCTCCACTCCACTCTCAGCTTTTGTACTACCATGCTTATTCACCTCCTGATTTCCCTCCCTTTCTCACACCCAAAGAAGGCTTCACAGCCAAAATGTTGTGTTTCTTTTCTACTCTTTTCAGCAAGGAATAAACCTTTACTTTTTCGATATTATTCTGTTGTTAATGCTACTTTGCACAGGACAATATAATTGCACATATAATGCAACATATTCAAATAGGCAATGTTGTTTACAAATTAACTATTCCGTTTAAACGCAATCATTTTCTCATATAAAATCAATAATGTTCTCGTATAAACACTATACTACAGTATGTCTTACAAACAAGATATTTTTTCTCAGTGCCGCTAATAAGCCTCCTTAAAAACCAAAAGAGTTTGAGAAAATTTGTTAGTGGAACACTATGACCATGTTTGAAAAAGAGGGTCTAATTGGTTCAAATTGCTGTCATTCTTTTTTTTTTCATTAAGAAAACTTGAGAAGTGACTGCCTTTGTAAAATGACTCAAGAAAAAAAAACAGTCAGGCTTTGTTAACATAGCACTAAGTTTTGTTTACATACATACAGTAGTAATTGTGTCAACAATTCACACTTGATGATAAGATAGGAACTCAAGGCAGAAAAAAAGCAATGAAAATTCCTCTAGCATGGCCTAGACGCTTTCTATAGTAATTGCAATAGCTATTATAGCTTTTTATATCTTTGAGTATTTTTTATAAATGTACTGGTTATCCGAATATTATTGTTTCAGGTCCTGTCTTCACAAAAAATATGTAGAATCTTTTCATATCTGCCTAAGAGGGGCAGAGCAGTGGCTCTGGGTCTGCACTTGTGGCTGGAAGGTTGCTGGTTCAAATCCTGCAGCTGATAGAAGAATCCTACTCTGTTGGGCTCCTGAGCAAGGCCCTTAACCCCAACTGCTCCACAGGTGCTGTACAATGGCTGACCCTGTGCTCTGACCCCTGGCTTCTCTCTGTGTGTGTGTCTCCTGGAGAGCAAGCTGGGGTATGCGAAAAGACAAATTCCTAATGCAAGAAATTGTATAGGGCTTAATAAAGTGATCTTATCTTATTTATCTCAAAAGTGTATTCAAGCTAGTAGACACATAGAACAAGGTCTTCAAGAATTTTCAGGTATTTTTCATGGCTACGGAAATAGAAAAATAGATCTTTGAAGACAGAAAAAACATCAGTCTCTTATGTATTTATTTTTTTTCTCCTGGATATTTCTGTCTGGTGAGTGGACACATAAGAAATCTGATGGTTTACACGTAATGCCCAATGGGTTAGCTTGAATTAAATCCATAAACCAGGATTCTACATTATAAACTCCCAGATATATTAAAAATGTTTGAGGGGACATTATTCTAGGCAGAAATGTTTCTATTGACAAGATAGAGAACTGTCATCATAAACCGATAATGACAACAATCGCACAAAGCAAAATACAAACACAAAAGAAAAAGCTCACCAAAATATATAAAATCCCATATTATTTCCTTATAGACAAAGGAAAGTACATGTTACTAACCATTGGGTCAATAGAAAATTAAACTGGGCAATTGAATAGTAAGTACTTTGTACTGTTAGTACTGGAATGGTTATTCCAGACTCTGAAAAAAGCTAGTCTAATTGGTTCAGATTGCTGTTATCTTATTGTTTTTGACCATCCAGAGCCCTATGTGAAGGGATTGCCTCTGTAAGATGACTCAGAAAAGAAACCTAGCAGCCAATTCTTATCAGTGGTCTAGAGCTAAGCTAGGAACTGGCAGTAAAAAAAAATTCTATATTAATTGGTATAATAAAAGGCTATTATAGCTTTTAATATTTTAAATTATTTTAAAAAAACTTTGGGGCATCATTCCAGGTCCTGTCTTCACAAATAATTATGTAGATTTTTAAAAATATTTCTCAAAGTTTTCTGAGATTTCTCAAATGTTTTATCCAGGCTCGTAGACACTTAGGGCAAGGACTACAAGCATTTTCAGCTATACTGCAGCTATTCAAGGTGAAAAATTGATCTTTTAAGATAAAAAAATCTTATTATTCTTTATTTCCTGGATATTTCTGTCTGGTGAGTGGACACAGTAAGAAGTCTGAAAGAAATCTTATAGAAGAAATATGATGGTTTACATTTAATGCCCAGGGGGTTGGCTTGAATTTAACCCTACAAGTAGGCCTCTACTGTATAAACTTCCAGAGATATTACAACAGGTTTTGGGGACATCACTTTAGATGGAAATTGCCTCTGCAGGTTTTTGGTGCTATACCCTATAATGCCAGATAAATTGAAATCATGGGACAAAATTCTGCCTAAATTTATTTGGGAAGGAAGAAAACCACAGGTAACACCTAGAACACTCAAATTTTCCCCAACTAAAATAATTATTTTCCACATCTATACTCTTACTATTATACAGCTCAGTTTAAGGTTTTAATAACTTGGATGAATGGCAACTTCTCAGCAAAATAGAATATTAATAAGTGGAAAAGTACAGTTCCACAGTCCAAAGACATGCTGATAGGTTCATTGTTTTCTGGAAAAATTCTTCCTGGTGTGAATGTTAGCATGTCTGTGTTTGTGTCTGTATCTGCCCTGTGATGGGTGCCTATTTTTTGCCAGAACAGGTGTTTTTTCCCTGCTGTATTCTGATGAAGATTCTTTTGTTTTACCAAGAGGTTAATTAACCAGAGAAAAGAAGAAAATTCCGTTTGATCCTCTGTGTTTACAAGCCTGTATGCTTACCTGCTAATGTGCAACCTGGAACTCATTTTTTAAACAATACACCTTCCCCAGTTGTAAGAGTTTACACAATAAATACACAGGTTGGATATTATATTGTTGTAAGGCAGCACATTGATATGGTGCCTCTTCTGCCCTTCTGCCTCAAAACACTGGTAATTAAATAATGAAATTGATTCTGGCCTGGGGCGCCTTTTTCGTGGAATGTTCATGTTCTGGTTTCCTCTCACATGCTGTCTAGGTTAATTGACATCTCTAGATTGTCCCCCATTTGTTTAAATGAAGCTTCCAGACTCCAGAATCATTTTGATATTGTATCTGACTGCGAAGCATGAAATATTGTTGGCAATTCTTAGGGTAGTGAATTCTTCCTTCCTGCTATGAATTGGTCACACATCCATAGGTGACCACAATTACATTTAACTTCCATAGGACAGACTGCTGTCCCAGGATGCCTGAATCAAGGAATTTAATTATCTGTAATATTTTGTTTGTCTTTTATTTCAGGCTTATGCTTGGCTCCAGAAGGAAATGGGGCCTGACACAGATCCAGTAGTAATTGTGAGGTTTCTGGGATCTACTGAAGTATCTTCTGACCTCCACAGTCTACTGCAAAGTATCTGTGAACAAATAGCAATCAACTACAGATGCCTTATACATTTTAATCCACCTAAAATTCAGGATCTTAGGGAGCTGATAGTGAACCTAATGAGTGAATCTTCATTCCATCGTCCACTGATAATTGTATTGGATGCTTTAGAACAACTTTCAGACAATGACGAAGCACGCAAACTATGGTGGCTTCCAGTACACTTACCACGGTCTGTGAGAATCATCATTTCCACACTGCCAAACAAGCATGGGATTCTACAAAAACTGAGGTGCCTTATACATGATGAGAATAATTACATTGAGCTCCTGCAGCGTGACAGGAAAATGTGCAGCCAGGTACTCAAACACCAACTCCTTAATGTCAAAAGAAAAGTCACTTCGGGTCAGCAAATTTATGTAAATGAAGCACTGGGAAAGTGCACTTTGCCCATGTTTGTGAATTTGATCTATAGAGAAGTTATGCACTGGAGGTCACATAAAGATGTTGATGGTACATCACTTTGCAGAACCGTGCATGAGAGCATTGAGCATCTGTTTTGGTCTTTGGAAAACAAGTTAAGTTCCAGATTTGTGTTTAGAGCACTTGGATACATCACAATAGCCAAAGCTGGTCTCAGTGAAATGGAACTGGAAGATATCCTTTCCCTTGACAACAGTGTTTTAAGTGACATTATGGTTAGTACCAACATCAAGAACCCTCTAAGAATCACCTACAATCTCATTGCTAAACTCAAAGAAGAACTAGAAGGATATCTCATTGAAAGGCAAGTAAGAAATGTGACATTGCTTGTATGGGCCAACAGGCATCTCTATCTGATTGCACAGAAGTTGTATCTCAACAATGAGGAAGATGTCCATCAAATGCATAGTCTCCTGGCTGAGTACTTCCTAGGGGTGTGGTCTGGTGGAAGAAAGAAAATATTCCACTATGATAATCACTTTGCTTCTCTTGATTTAACTCAAAGGAATCCCAACCACACTGAAAAGTCAAACACAGACAAGTCTTCCTTTGATAGACAGACTCCAGAGCAGCCTTGGGTGTTTCAGTGCAACTTACTAGAACCAGATATATTCTTTGTCAATCACAGGAAGATGACTGAGCTTTTATATCACCTGACAAGGAGTGGACGGACGGATGACTTGATGTTTGGTGTTATAATGAATTTCAGCTGGCTCTACACAATGATTAAAATTGGTCAGTTTGAAAAAGCACTTGCAGACATTGACTTTGCTTATAGTTACTCACAGGAGAAGGAGCTCAAATTTCTTGCAAGTACTCTACGCAGCATAAAAGTAAAGGTCATGAAAAACCCTAGCTCTCTTTCTGCTGAATTGCAACAGAGACTTTTGCCTGTTGTTACTTCATTGCCAAAACTTAGACACTTGCTACTAGAATGTGACAAAGATGGTCCAAAGTACTGTTCTATTGTTCCTTTGCATTCCTCAATGGATGTTACATACAGCCCTGAGCGCCTTCCTTTATGCTCAAGTTACATGCAAATTGTCGAAATTCTTCCAACGTTTGCCCCTACCATTATCATTGCTGCACTGGAAAATGGATCTATCAGCACCTGGGATGTTGAGTCTCACCAGCTTTTAAGGCAGATTGATACTGCTCATTCTGTTGTTCTTGGGATAAAACTTACAAGTGATGAGAAATATCTTGTTGTGGCTACAACTAAAAACACTTTGCTCATATATGACAACCACAAATCTTGCTTGTTGTCAGAGGTTGAAATCAAATCAAAACACTGTGGAATTGCAGGAGGGATTGCCTTTATAAATGGTTTCACCTTGTCTAGTAATCACGCTCTCGCATGGCTAGAAGCAAGCAAAGATGTCAATGTGATAGACCTTCTTTATGGATGGCCCTTATACCAATTTCACTGCTGGTATGAAGTCACTTGTGTCCAGTGTTCTCCAGATGGAATTTATGCTTTTTGTGGTCAGTATCTAAATACCACATCTATATTTCATTTAGGAAGTGGAGAAAAACTAGCTACAGTGACATCAGAGTTTTCTGGGGGATTTGTAAAATCTCTTCTCATTTTAGACACTATTCAGGAAATGGTGATGATTGACAATGAAGGAAGCCTCTCAGTCTGGAATACTGAAGAAATTACAAACCCCCAGATAATTGAGGACTATGACTGTAGAGGAGAAGACAATGAAGTTGTCAGCATTGAACTGTCAGAAGACCAAAGTGCCATTCTTATTTGCAAGGCGAGAAGCATTGAAGTTTTAGACACAAGCTTGTGGAAGATGGCAGAAAAGTTTAAAGCAAAACTAAGTGAACGTTTTATTTCTGCTGTTCTATCCAAAAGTGCAGAGTGCATTGTTGCTTCCATGGAGAATACTTCATCCATTTTTGTCTGGAGGAGGGACAGTGGTCAGTGTATGGCGAGTTTGCTTGAAATATCAGGATCTATTGTCAAGTTAATAAAATCTAATCATCACAACTTGTTGTTATCTGTTACCACTAGTGGTGTTGTCTCTATCTGGGACATAGACATTATAACAGCGATGTCAAACATTGACAAAACTGGAAAGCCAATCCAAAACCTGCTACTGAGTGGCCGAGATGAATTTATCTTTACATTGGATGGATCTGAGTCAGTACATAAGTGGAACTTCAGTACAGGCTTCATTGAAAATGTGTTTAAGCACGAGGGCAATGTGGAAAATTGCGTGTTGACAACATCAGGAGATTTAATGGTCACATCAGATGACAGATGTAATCAATATGTCTGGCATACCTCTACTGGCGAGAACATATTCCGAATTAATGGGCAGAAGATATCTCAACTTCTTATTACACATAATGATCAGTTTGTTGTCTCTCTTTGTGAACAGAATGCATCTAGAGTCTGGAGGCTAGCTACAGGACACAAAGTATGTAATATACTTGTAGCATTACAGAATGCCTTCATTACGACTGCAAATACATTCCTGATTGGTATGACCAAAAATAAGCTGCTGGCTGTTAGTCTGTGGTCAGGAAGTGTGTCAAAGAAGTTTTGCTGTGATGATGGCGTTACCATCGTCAGTTTTAAGCTCATTCCAGATTGCCCTGATTATGTTGTTTTTATCACATCTACAGAAACAGTGTACATCTGGAGTGTGGCAGAGGAGTCCATCTGCAGACGTGTACAACTCCCAAACAATTTTTTGAAAACACTGGAAGATTTTCAGATCTCACCAAATGGAAAACTGGGAATTGTGTCCAGAGGAGATGAAAATATCAATATTTTAGATTTGCATAGTGGCAAGCTGAGGATTGTTCATGCCTCTGGTGTCCTTTGGCGACAGAGACTCTCACGGGATGGTCGTTACCTGGTATACATTTGCTTTCAGAACAGCGATGATGATGATGATAGTGGTGTGGTCTCCAACCTAACTGTTATGAGATTAGCTGATGGCAAGAGCATCGGTGCTTGTTCACTTTATAAAACCCCAACCTTTTTCAGCCTATCTCAACGACATCTCAATATAATTGTGGGATTCGATGATGGGAGTATAGGGACTTACACAGTAGTGGACCGCGTAGATGCAGCCCTAAAAATCAAAATTGCTACATCAAACAGCCGTCAAATTGTCAACAATGCTTCACAAAAAGTGCGTCCCAAATGTGCAACTCACAGCTGTAAAACAATTGCAGACTGTGTTTGGAGAGAGTCTACTGAGGTTTTTTCAAGAGAAAGTCCCATAAATGTGTCGGATTCAGGTGAGACAGAGGCAACACCAACCAAAAAACAAAACTGTTGTCATGACAGAGTATGTTCAGACAATTAAGTTTACAGTTTCAATGCTGCAGATCAGCAAAATAACATCAGCCACACTGTTAATGAAAAGAATTTAGATGTATAAAAGCTAACAGTTGTGGCTTCAGAACTCAATACTTTCATAAGCCTCATTTTAAAGTTTTGATTTTTAAGCTTAATTTTACTGAACATTTATTTGATTCAAGTCAGCATCCTCTTAGTTGTTTCACTGTAGGGAAATATAAGTTAAATATCCTGTTAAATGTTTGATCTTTGCTGGAGGGAGTTGAATATTTTTATTAACTATTTTGAAAAGATCCTTCCTATGTCAGACACTATTTTTGTTAATTTGCACTGTACCTATGTGAACCTCTTCACTGCTTAACATTATGAAAACCTGATGGACAAGTTTCCCACTAATATAGTATGAGTGACAAAGTGATGAAAAATATCTTGTGCATATTGTTTACTTTGCTCCTTGTCATTAGTATTTACTTTTTCAAAAAAAGTGTGCAAACACTTTGACTATATGACAGCAATGATACAGAAATTTACTTTTTAGTACTGGTATACATTTACATTGAACTGCTTAAAAATATGGATAGCTTTATGCAAACAAATTGAGTGCCTGAATTTTAAAAGATTTTCATAATGTTTGTTGGAACAAAATAAAGTTACATGGAACATATTAAAATTTTACAGGTTGCAGTTTTGATGATGTTGATAAATGTTATAGATTCATTTTGTTTTTGATTGACCCAGATTTTTTAATTAGATCTGTATAAATTGATTAACAAAAAAAATCCATATTAAAACCTTAACAAAAGTTAGTGATTTAAAAACCAGACTGCACTGACCTTGAAGCGCATTTTTTAAACAAAATATTACACCAAGAAAACACCGGTGGAGTAAATCACTGACTTTTTAATTAAATTAAAAGGCATTTGACCATTTAGAAATGCATTTCATTAATCCATAAATATTTTAAGACCAGTCATTAATATCACATATTATATCATTTTCAGAGACATTCCAATGTGGTTGCCTCAAACACAATTGTGTGTAAATGGGTATTTTATGAGGATTTGAGTCTCTGAGTATATTCAGATAATTTTCTTGGGCAGTTATTTATTCTGTGAAAGCTATCAATCTGGGTGTAGAATTTCCTCTCAAGCATGGAGAATACTTGCAAGTTAGAGCTGTGCTACTAGTTGACTATGTTTGGGGTGACATAATTGGCTGAGCTTCACCAAAGCAATAAGTTGAAGTTGCACACTGAACTGTGATTGGTAAAAGCTGTCAATCCTAGATCAGTATGATAGCATGGCTAACTTGACAATATTTACGTTGGAAAATGTGTCATGTTTTATGTGGACGCTATTGTGTAAGTAGTACTGAAAAGACTTTAGCTCCATAAAAAATAATTGGTAAGTCTAAGTCAAGTTGCTTAGAAATTGACATAACTGTGTGAATGACAATAGGGGAACATCTAGACAGCTGATGAAGGTCAGAATGTACTAGCAATCACTTAGTGTGTATTTAGTATATCTAGAAAGCATATTTAATTATTTAATATTTCTTTCCAACTTGGAATAGGCATAAATGTTACAAAATGGAACTTTGTTAATTGTGAAAAGTTTGTTAGCTGCCTTTTCCTTACATGACAGAAAATGGAATAACCACTATTATATTTAAGTATGTACACAACCTTGTTGTGTAAAAGGCTGGAACTTTTATCTTTACCTGTAGTTATTATGAATCTAAAGGGCTAAATATTTCCTTATATATGTTTGTTTATTTTCAATAAAAAACACCAAGCTATTTCAGTTATCCCAAGAAAGTTGTGAGCTTTAAATAACACTGATACCTTCCCACAGTGAGTAAACCTTATAAAGTAAACATTGATATATTTGCCAAAGCTTCCGAGTTTAATTTTTTGTTGTTTGCAACTTATGGTCTTTTATGGCTGGAACGTTTGACTCAGTAAAATGTGATCTTTCAACGTAAATAAGTTGCAGTGCCTTGTAAAAGTATTTAGACCCTCGCAAATGTTTCACATTTTGCTGCTTTAAAGCTTGCATTTGATAAATTTTGACGTAGCGATTAATATTTGTTGTATACACAACCTACACCACACTTTCAAAGGAAAAACATTGAATGAAGTAAAGAGTAATTAATATGACGGAAAAATAGAAAAGTCATGATTGCATAAGTATTCAAACCCTTTGCTATAGCAAAAAATAATTGGTGCACAACTTAAGCCACACAGTTAGAGGAGTCATTTTAATTGCATGACCAATGAGTAAAATTAGTGTTGCCAAAGCAAAACAAATACAATTAACATAAAACAATCTTTAGCCATTTACAATACTTCCTGTTTGTGTGAAATATACTGATTCTCTTGAAGAGTAGATACACCTGTCTCTATAAACCCCGGTGTCCTGGCCAAATTTCCCATTGGCCCTTACCAATCATGGCCTCCTAATAATCCCCCTCTATGAATTGGCTACATTACTCTGCTCTCCTCCCCACT